GCGGGAACCATACATAGTTTTAAGATGAGGTTTGATAAAGCTCATGAAGCAGGGAGAGAGAGGACCTAGAAGCATTCAGTGAAGAGGCAGAGCCAGGAGCTATGACTTGACCCCTGCAACCACAAATAGGTGAGTACATCACTCAGGCAGCATCACTTTGAGTTACCCTGCCCTATCAGCAGCATCATACTGTATTAACTGTACTGTACCGTACATATGTACCTAAGTTATTTTGTACTTTTCTATTCATGCATACGAATGTTTTCAGTTTCTTACATTCGAAGTGAATTCGAACACACTGTTTCGTATGCAAATGTTCTCAGAAATGAACAACTGTTTGTGCTGTACACACTGTTTCTCCTAAACCTTACAGTATAAAATACAGTACTAAAAGCATAAAAAGTAAAAAATGAAATACAAATATAAAACAATAAAATAAAATCATTACAATAACTGTGATGTTGATATACAGCAGTAAAATATTTAGTAAAAAGTAACATACGACAGTATGTAGGTATACTTAACATAGCAAAGGTTTGACATTGTGCCCTACCCAGTATGTCGGCAATTTTCTAAGGTTCGACTTGCGTCCATTTTGACTTACGACCGGAACCAAGCTCAGTCATAAGTCGGATGGTACTAGTAGAAGTAGCAAGACGTACCTGAAATCTTGTATGTTCATGAGACAAAAAAAAAAAAAAAGACACCAGCAATCCTACTACCATGTAAAACAATTACAGGTTTCCATTTTACACTCACTTGGCAGGACAGTAATACCTCCCTGGGCAGTTTCTGTCCACCAACCTACTACGTACAGTGGACCCCCGCATAACGATCACCTCCGAATGCGACCAATTATGTAAGTGTATTTATGTAAGTGCGTTTGCACGTGTATGTTTGGGGGTCTGAAATGGACTAATCTACTTCACAATATTCCTTATGGGAACAAATTCGGTCAGTACTGGCACCTGAACATACTTCTGGAGTGAAAAAATATCGTTAACCGGGGGTCCACTGTACATACCTTGTTTATCAGTACTTGGGTTTTATTAGTGTTTGGGTTTTTCTTTCTCTTGGGGTCACTCTGCCTTGGTGGGAAATGGCCAACATGTTTAAAAAAGTTTAATGAACCCAAGTATCTTGATGATATGCTTGTACACTGGAACCTCAAAAATCGAACTGCTCCCAACTCAACCAATTATGTAAGTGTATTTTTGTAAGTGCTTTTATAAGTGTATTTTTGAGGGTCTTAAATGAACTAATCTAACTTACATTATTCCTGATGGGAATAAATTCGTACGGTAGTGGCACTCGAACAGCCTTCTGGACCAAAGAAAGTTCGATTTTTGAGGTTCCACTGTACCTTGTACATTGGGCTTGGGAATGTTTTTGTGAATTGCTGCAGACCCTTTTAGACTGACTGAACCTTGTGCTCTTGAGGAGATATCATTCATATGTCTCAGCTGAAAGCACATTTTTTTTTTTTTTTTTTAACAAGTCGGCCGTCTCCCACCGAGGCAGGGTGACCCAAAACGAAAGAAAATCCCCAAAAAGAAAATACTTTCATCATCATTCAACACTTTCACCTCACTCATACATAATCACTGTTTTTGCAGAGGTGCTCAGGCATTGTACTTCCCATTTCCAGGACTCAAGTCCAGCTATATAAAATAACCGGTTTCCCTGAATCCCTTCACTAAATATTACCCTGCTTACACTCCAACAGATCGTCAGGTCCCAAATACCATTCGTCTCCATTCATTCCTATCAAACACGCTCATGCACGCCTGTTGGAAGTCCAAGCCCCTCGCTCACAAAACTTCCCTTACCCCTTCCTTCCAACCTTTTCAAGGACGACCCCTACCCCGCCTTCCTTCCCCTACAGATTTAAATGCTCTCCATGTCATTCTACTTTGATCCATTCTTTTTAAATGACCAAACCACCTCAACAACCCCTCTTCTGCCCTCTGATTAATACTTTTATTAACTCCACACTCCGAATTTTCTCCATAATATTTACACCACACATTGCCCTTAGACAGGACATCTCCACTGCCTCCAACCGTCTCCTCGCTGCTGCATTTACCACCCAAGCTTCACACCCATATAAGAGTGTTGGTACTACTATACTTTCATACATTCCCTTCTTTGCCTCCATAGCACATGTTCTAGAGCAAAAAATCCTGATGATCGTACTGTCACTCTTGAATACTAACTGTAGTATTTCTTCTTCATTGTTTGTGGTGTTGAATTTAGGGCTTGGTGTACAAGCAATTGTGAATTTCTTGGAAGAACTGACATTCAAAAATAATAAAATTCCAAATTATCATTATAATTATTGTATTATTTTTTAAATTCAATGTACGTCACCTGCAAAAGCTGGGCAATCCAAAGAAGAAAACACATTCACCCTCATTCACTCAATTGCCATCTTTTCCAAAGTGTGCTGTTATCACAATCAGATTACCTCCCTCTAACTGTAACATCTCTACCCCTCATTCAGAGTGAAGGCACTGCCCTTTCTACCTCTAGTGGTAGTACACTACCTCTACTTGTAAACAATATACGTACAGTGGAACCTCAAAAATCGAACTTAATCCGTTCCAGGAGCTAGTTCTAAATTCAAAAAGTCTGAAATTCGAAGCAATATTTCCCATAAGAAATAATGGAAATACAATTAATCTGTTCCAGAAACCCAAAAATATTCACACAAAAAATACAGTTTATAGAGATTAATTACAGTTTTACATACAACAAATACTATAGTTTTTAATTATGTATAGTAATACTTATAAAATAACATTTTTACTTACCTTTATTGAAGATTGGTGATGGCATCTGGAAGATAGGGAGGAGGAGAGAGGGAGTTGGGGTTAGTGTTTGGAAGGAGAATCCCCCTCCATGAGGACTTCAGGTAAAACCCTCTCTGGGGTTACTTCCCTTCTCTGTCTTTTAATGCCACTAGGACCAGCTTGAGAGTTACTGGACCCCTGTCTCACAAAATAACTGTCCACAGTCCTCTGTTTTTGGCACCTCTTTAACATTTCCCTAAAATGGGACATGGTTCTGTCACTGAACTTGTTGCAAAGATGGCTTGTTTCAGCTTGCTCAGGGTGGTACTTCTGCACAAACATTTGGACATCATTCCACTTGGCACAAATCTCCTTAATCTTTGAGAAGGCACTCATCCACTCCCTATATTAACACCTTTCGCAACATCAGCTTCCTTGATTTGTTCTTTCTTTGACAGGATAGAACTGATGGTCGACTTGTTTTTCCCATATATCCTGGCAAGCTCAGCAAGTCTCACACCACTCTCATACTTCTGTATTATTTCCTTCTTCACATCTATGGTGTTTCTCACTTTCTTTACCACAGGGGTACCACTAGCAAGTTTCTTTGGGCCCATGGCAGCTTATTTCACAGTCCCACAAGCACTAAACACAATGAAATAATCGTAAAATGCATGAATGAGAGCACAGGTTAGTGTTCACTCAAGCATAAACAAAGCTAGACTGCTCACGGCGCCTGCGCGGGGATGCGGACAGAGCGGGCGGCAGACAGGTCCCATACCTGGCGGTCCGAAAATAGGGGCGCGTTCGATAATAGGGACACAGTTTGTCCGAAAAAATGGTCCTATTTTCGAAACGTTCGATATGTGATACGTTCGATTTTTGAGGTTCCACTGTACTGTACTGTTCTACCAGTGTTTGTAACAAAAAACCTACTTGTATTTTGAAGCAGTTTTTCTTCTATGGTTCATAGTTATGACCACTTCTTCTGATAACTGTATATCATAACATACCTTCCAGCTGAGTTAATATGCTTTAGATCTATTTTGAGATTCCCTAATACTTTATGACTAGACCACAGTGATGCTACAGTACTTTGTTTTGGAGCACCAGCAGAGTAAACAAATCTGATCACTAATGTTTGTGTGCCACTTACTTAAGTCATTTTTGCCACTGTATCTTATTATTTAGTTAGAAGCTGTGTGTATGTGTTGGCCAAAAAAAGTTACTTCACTTTATAACACTCAAAATGTTCTTTCAAAAAATTCTACACAATGCCATCCCCATTAGAGCAGAAATGTTCCTGGAGGAAGGACATCTCTGACATGGAAAGAGATGAAATGTGAAGAAAAAACAGATGCAAGGGGATGATATGTAGTTTCCTGAAAAGCAATTTTAGTTACCTAACTACACCATATACATGCAAACTGTCATATCTGCACACCTCTGGCAAAACAGTGATAGTGTGAATGATGGTGAGTGTTTCTTTTTCATGTCACCCTACCTTGGTGGGAGACAACTAGCGTGTTAAAAATAAAAATATACAAAACGAATGTAAGCAGTCAAGAACTCAAGGTCTGAGATACTACACACACCAAGGTAAACATTTGTTATTTTCAACATATATATATATGAGAGCTCAATCACTGTACTTATAGCATTATTTCTAAGTGCAATACCAGTACTTATTATATGAAACCGGTAGGAAAAAGAAGGTTAAGAAAGTAAAAAAAAATAAAAAACACTATGGATATATAGCAATGAATGAAAAAAGATATTCATTACAAAAAAATAGATGAGTAGGATAATAAAAAGAGGATGTTAAAGAAAGAATACATAAATAGGGAAAAAATGAGGAGGTTATTGGAAGAATACATAAGTGAGGTAAATATGTATAAGAAATTAAGGAAACATACATAAGGGGTAAAAGAGAGTGTTAAGGAGAGACAATGGAAGGTGGAACAGCAAAAGACAAATATGAGAGGATAAAAGACAATGTACAGGCTACAGACAGCTTGTGTAAAAATGGGACAATCAGGCTTAAATGTAAAAAAAAATTTAACTACCTTAAGAAAAACAAAAAATACACATCTCAACCTTCACCAATAACCCAAGGCCCTTATCATTGCAAAATCAACTGGAAACCACGAAGCCATACAAACTTACACGACCGCTACCCAACAATTGTTCTATGGAGAAACAATGTACCTTTTTCAAAGTGAGGCTGGTCCTGGAAGAGGACCTGGGAGATGCGGACAGGATCAAGGGTCAGGCTGCCGTGCCCCAGCGGATTATATATGTCTCCTTCCGATTCGCTGATACTGGTGAAGCTTGTGGTCATAGATGAAGGTACAGTTTCCACTTGACAAATAAAATATACGATGGTATAAATTTCCAACAATTGAAACAACTATTGTTTCAGAAAATCTGCTCTTCACTCAATATCCACAAAAATTCTGACTAAACTCTTTTTCTGAAGTATTTTGAAAATTAAGAGTGAATTTTGGAAAAAAAAAATATATATATATATATATAAACGTGAAATATATTCATACACAATTACAAATTATAATGTGCCTTTTGGCACACACCAATCTTTTTAAAATACAGTGGTCCCTCGTTTTTCGTAATTAATCCGTTCCTAGAGCCGTTACTATAAATGAAATTTACGATTTACGAATCAATTTTCCCCATGAGAAATAATGTAAATACAATTAATCCGTTCCTGACACCCAGAAGTATTAAAACAAAAAAATTTTTTACATGAAATATACATGTAGTACATAAACAATACAATGGGAAATGATGAATGAAACATTAACAGCATAACACTTACCTTTATTGGAGATTCTTCTTAGTGTATGGGAGACTGGAGGAGGAGGAGGAGGAGGAGAGTGGATTGTTTATAGTTTGGAAGGGGAATCCCCTTCCATCAACACCTCAGGTACCATTTGCTTTTCTGGGGTTGTTTCTCTTCTCTGTTTCTTAATGCCACTAGGACCACCTTGAGAGTCACTGGAGTCCTGTCTCGCAAAATAACTGTGGAGAGAGCTCTGTTTCTGGCGTCTCTTTAACACTTCCCTAAAATAGCCCAAGACTTTGTCACTGTACATGTTGCCAACCTGGCTTGCAACAACCTTGTTAGGGTGATGTTTCTCCATAAAGCTTTCCATCTTACCCCACATAGTAAAAATCTCTTTAATTTCTGAAGAAGGCACCTTCTTCCATCTCTCTTCCTCCTCCTCTGCAGCAAGATTCTGAGCTGCGATGTGTTGCTCTTCCTGCTGAAGCTCTTGCAGCTCCTCAGTGGTGAGCTCTTCATTGTGGTCTTCCACCAATTCTTCCACATCCTCCAAACTCACATCCAACCCCATGGAACTCCCCAGTGCCACAATTGATTTTACAACAGACATAGGCTCATTAGGGTCAGTCCCAAATCCTTCAAAATCCCTCTTGTCGACACAATCTGGCCACAATTTTCTCCAGGCAGAGTTCAAAGTCCTGGTAGTCACTCCCTTCCAAGCCATACCTATAAGGGTTATGCAATGGAGGATGCTGACGTGTTCTCTCCAAAATTCCCTTAGGGTCAAGTGAGTGTCTGTGGTCACAGTCAAGGACCTGTGAAACATTGCTTTTGTGTAGTTTTTAAAGTTTGCAATAACCTGCTGGTCTAAGGGTTGGAGGAGAGGAGTGGTATTTGGGGGCAAGAACTTTACTGTGATGAACCCAAACTACTCGAAAATTAGGTCATCCAAGTTTGGAGGATGAGCAGGTGCATTGTCCATTACTAGCAGGCACTTGAGATCCAATTTCTTTTCCAGGAGATACTCCTTTACACTAGGGCCAAACACTTCATTGAACCACTCGACGAAAATTTCCCTCGTGACCCATGCCTTACTATTAGATTTCCAAAACACACACAATTTACTCTTCATAACATTGTTTTTCCTGAACACTCTGGGATTTTCAGAATGGTACACTAGTAATGGCTTCACTTTGAAATCCCCACTAGCATTAACACAGAACATTAGCATCAGCCTGTCTTTCATAGGCTTGTGTCCTGGCATTTCCTTTTCCTCTTGTGTAATGAAGGTCCTCTTTGGCATTTTCTTCCAAAAGAGGCCTGTTTCGTCACAATTGAACACTTGTTCAGGTTTCAGTCCTTCAGCCTCTATGTACTCCTGGAATTCATGCACATATTTTTCAGCCGCCTTGTGGTCCGAACTGGCAGCCTCACCATGCCTTACCACAATGTGTATGCCAGTACAGTTCTTAAATCTCTCAAACCAGCCATTGCTGGCCTTAAATTCACTCACATCACCACTATTTGCAGGCAATTTCTTTACCAAATCTTCATGCAACTGCCTAGCCTTTTCACAAATAATCGAAGTCATAAGAGTATCTCCTGCTAATTCTTTCTCATTTATCCACACCAATAATAACTTCTCAACCTCTTCCAGTACTGCTGATCTCATTTTTGTCAGCATTGTTACTCCCTTTGCAACAACAGCGTCCTTTATTTCCATTTTTCTTGGCCACTATGGAACATAAGGTTGCGTAGGGTTTCTTATACATCCTGGACAGTTCGGCCACACTTGTACCACTTTCATATTGTTCAATGATGGTTTTCTTAAATTCAATCGTATTTCTCACCTTCTTTACCACAGGCTTGGCACTAGGAGCTTTCTTTGGAGCCATGGTAGCTTACTTAGTACTTGCAAGCACTAAAATAAATGGAATATTATGAAATATTTCGCTGGAGCACGTGAGGGGACCTTCACTCACTGGTAAACAATGCCAGACTGGCTGCCGCCCTGGCTCACACTGTGGGTACGCGTCCCGGATGAACTACGACTCGCAAGTCAACCAATGAAAAGCGAGTCCATGTTTATACGAAAATACCCCTATGATTGGCGATATTTACGATTGCCGGGAACTACGAAAAGCGGGGGACCACTGTACAACTAAAAAATCAAATCAAAAACATATTTCTTTAGTGTAATATGGAATCAAGAGAGTAGCTAAGGATTTCTCTTAAAAAAAGAAAGTTAATCTTACAATAAATTATAAAATACACAGTATCTATACTCACTAGCCAAATCATTATGTTGTATTTAGGCTTCTCAACATTTATATACTAATACTGAAGGTTGGTAGCAGTCTGAGTGATGGTGATTTCTTCTTTATCATAATAACTTTACATAAGCATGCTAGAACAACAAACATGTATGTTAGGTAAAAGGACATATGTGTAACTAATGTGACATTTTATTGTGGCAATGTTTCGCTCTCCAGGAGCTTTATCAAGCCGTTACCATAAAGGCTTGACAAAGCTCCTGGAAAGTGAAACGCTACCACAATAAAATGTTGCATTAGTTTCACGTGTCCTTTTACCTAACATAATGTTGTTAATTCTACCAACATTATTGCAACAAACGTAAGAATAAGTCACAATACATTTGATGAAACGATTCACAACTAACCTCTAAACCTCTCTGAATTGTGGGTAAGCTGGGGAACAAAAAATCTGATTTTTTTTTACTCTCAAGTCACCTCTTTTCATACTGTGTGAAACATGTTATTATGATTTGTGTCCTGAAGGCAGGAAGGACAGTGCCTACACTCTGAAAAAGGGGTAGGGATGTTGCAGTTAGAGGGTAATCTGAATTGTGATGTCAGCACATTTTTGGAAATACAGCAACAGAATGAATGATGGTAAATGTGTTTTCTTCTATGTCCAATAAAGTAAAATAATACTTAATAATAATAATAATAATAATAATAATAATAATAATTAATAATAATAATAATAATAATAATAAATGGGATAAATGGGATAAAATGGAATAAATGGAATAAATGGGATTAGGTCAGGGGTTTCAAATAGAGTTAGAGCTAAAGAAGGAGTAGCAATAATGTTGAAGGATAAGCTATGGCAGGAAAAGAGGGACTACAAATGTATAAATTCAAGGATTATGTGGAGTAAAATAAAGATTGGATGTGAAAAGTGGGTTATAGTAAGCGTGTATGCACCTGGAGAAGAGAGAAGTGTAGAGGAGAGAGAGAGATTCTGGGAAATGTTGAGTGAATGCGTGGGGAGTTTTGAATCAAGTGTGAGAGTAATGGTGGTTGGGGATTTCAATGCTAAAGTGGGTAAAAATGTTATAGAGGGAGTAGTAGGTAAATTTGGGGTGCCAGGGGTAAATGTAAATGGGGAGCCTTTAATTGAGCTATGTGTAGAAAGAAATTTGGTAATAAGTAATACATATTTTATGAAAAAGAGGATAAATAAATATACAAGGTATGATGTAGCACGTAGTTTGTTAGATTGTGTATTGGTGGATAAAAGGTTGATGGGTAGGCTCCAGGATGTACATGTTTATAGAGGGGCAACTGATATATCGGATCATTATTTAGTTGTAGCTACAGTTAGAGTAAGAGGTAGATGGGAAAAGAGGAAGGTGGCAACAACAAGTAAGAGGGAGGTGAAAGTGTATAAACTAAGGGAGGAGGAAGTTCGGGCGAGATATAAGAGACTATTAGCAGAAAGGTGGGCTAGTGCAAAGATGAGTAGTGGGGGGGTTGAAGAGGGTTGGAATAGTTTTAAAAATGCAGTATTAGAATGTGGGGCAGAAGTTTGTGGTTATAGGAGGGTGGGGGCGGGGAGGAAAGAGGAGTGATTGGTGGAATGATGAAGTAAAGGGTGGGGATAAAAGAGAAAAAGGTAGCTTACGAGAGGTTTTTACAAAGCAGAAGTGTTTATAGAAGAGCAGAGTATATGGAGAGTAAAAAAAAAGGTGAAGAGAGTGGTGAGAGTGCAAAAGGAGAGCAGATGAAAGAGGGGAGAGGCACTGTCAAGAAATTTTAATGAAAATAAGAAAAAATTTGGAGTGAGTTAAACAAGTTAAGAAGCCTAGGGAAAGTATGGATTTGTCAGTTAAAAACAGAGTAGGGGAGTTTAGTAGATGGGGAGAGGGAGGTTTAGGTAAAATGGCGAGAATATTTGAGGACCTTTTAAAATGTTAAGGAAGAAAGGGAGGCGGTAATTTCATGCACTGGCCAGGGAGGTATACCATCTTTTAGGAGTGAAGAAGAGCAGAATGTAAGTGTGGTGGAGGTACATGAGGCATTACGTAGAATGAAAGGGGGTAAAGCAGCTGGAACGAGGGGATCATGACAGAAATATAAAAGCAGGGGGGGATATAGTGTTGGAGTGGTTGGTACTTTTGTTTAATAAATGATGAAAGAGGGGAAGGTAACCTAGGATTGGCAGAGAGCATGTATAATCCCTTTATATAAAGGGAAAGGGGACAAAAGAGATTGAAAAAATTAAAGAGGAATAAGTTTACTGAGTATACCAGGAAAAGTATACAGTAGGGTTATAAATTGAAAGAATTAGAGGTAAACAGAATGTAGGATTGCAGATGAGGCAGGGAGGCTTCAGATTTGGGTAGGGGATGTGTAGATCAAGTGTTTACATTAAAGGGCATATATTGTGAACAGTATTTAGATAAAGGTAGAGAAGTTTTTTATTGCATTTTATGGATTTAGAAAAGGCATAAGATAGAGTGGATAGAGGAGCAATGTGGCAGATGTTGCAAGTATAGGGGAATGGGTGGTAAGTTACTAAATGCTGTAAAAAAGTTTTTATGAGGAATAGTGAGGCTCTGGTTAGGGTGTGTAGAAGAGAGGGAGAATACTCCCGGTAAAAGCAGGTCTTAGACAGGGATGTGAAAATGTCACCATGGTTGTTTAATATATTTATAGATGGGGTTGTAAAAGAAGAAAATGCTAGGGTGTTCGGGAGAGGGGTGAGATTAAATTATGGGGAATCAAATTCAAAATGGGAATTGACACAGTTACTTTTTGCTGATAAATACTGTGCTTAGGGGAGATTCTAAAGAAAAATTGCAAAGGTTAGGGGATGAGTTTAAAGAATGTGTGTAAAGGTAGAAAGTTGAAGTGAACATAGAAAAGAGTTAAGGTGATGAGGGTATCAAATGATTTAGATAAAGAAAAATTGGATATCAAATTGGGGAGGAGGAGTATGGAAGAAGTGAATGTTTTTCAGATACTTGGGAGTTGACGTGTCGGCGATGGATTTATGAAGGATGAGGTTAATAAATAATTGATGAGGAAAAAAGGTGAGGTGGTGCGTGAGGTATATGTGGAGTCAAAAAACGTTATCTATGGAGGCAAAGAAGGGAATGTATGAAAGTATAGTTAGTACCAACACTCTTATAATGGATGTGAAGCTTGGGTGGTAAATGCAGCAGCGAGGAGACGGTTGAGGGAGTAGAGATGTCCTGTCTAAGGCAATGGTGTGGTGTAAATATTATGCAGAAAATTCGAAAAGTGTGGAAATTAGGAGAAGGTGTGGAGTTAATAAAAGCATTAGTCAAGGGCAGAAGAGGGGTTGTTGAGGTGGTTGGTCATTTAGGAGAATGGATCAAAGTAGAATGACATGGAAACATATAAATCTATAGGGGAAGGAAGGAGGGGTAGGGGTCGTCCTCGAAAGGGTTGGAAAGAGGGGTAAAGGAGGGTTTTGTGGGCTAGGGGTTGGACTTCCAGCAAGCGTGCATGAGCGTATTAGATAGGAGTGAATGAAGGCGAATGATACTTGGGACCTGACGATCTGTTGGAGTGTGAGCAGGGTAATATTAGTGAAGGGATTTAGGGAAACCGGTTATTTTCATATAGTCGGACTTGAGTCCTGGAAATGGGAAGTACAATGCCTGCACTTTAAAGGAGGGTTTGGGATATTGGCAGTTTGGAGGGATATGTTGTGTATCTTTATACGTATATGCTTCTGAACTGTTGTATTCTGAGCACCTCTGCAAAAGCAGTGATAATGTGTGAGTGTGGTGAAAGTGTTGAATGATGATGAAAGTATTTTCTTTTTGGGGATTTTCTTTCTTTTCTGGGTCACCCTGCCTCGGTGGGAGACGGCCGACTTGTTAAAAAAAAAAAAAAAAAAATAATAATAATAATAATAATGCACATTACAGTGAGCTTCGATTTAAGGGATTTCAATTTAAAGGACTTTGTAAATACAGGCAAAAATCTGCCAGGCCAACTGATTCAGAAAATGTACAAAGTCCAATGGTTACAGAATTCTGTTATTCTTATGATCACAGTAAAACAATCCCAACTCTATCCACCACAACTGCAATTATGGCTATCCACTCTCCCCTGTTAATCCATTCAATCAAAGTTGACTGTATTTAAAATCTATCTCTTAGCAACATATGTAATGTCACTCTTTCAACAATGTATTCATCTGTACTGTATTACCTTTGTCATTACTTGTCTTCTTATTGTTGCCTGAAGAATCTGAAGCTGGTGATTCTGATCGATCATTGAGTAGAGAACGCAAGCCACGCTGAGCAGTTACCCACACACGAGAAGCTGTGGCAGATCCACGTGCAATGGTACTACCGTCAAGGCTTGGGCTGCAAGTTACAAACAAAATGAAGTGATTAACTAAATAGGTAAATATGTAAATGTTAATTAACGAGCAGCTCTGTAAGACAAAAAAGAAGTCTGGACATTAAAATTTAGTAGAGGTACTGGTAAATATTGTAATCAGGCCACCACAATTCTTTATTTACATTTTTTTTTTCAACAGATCGACCATATCCCAATCAACCAGCAAAGTAACAACACTAAAGATGACCTTGTTGACTGTTAGGAGAAATAGAAGAGACATGATAGGCACATATAAGGTCACAAAAGGATATGAAACCATAAAGAAGAATTATTAGTACCCTCAACAGGGAAAACAAGCAGTCACAGTCCTAAATTGAGAAAAAAAAAAAGGCAGAGATGAAAGGATAAAAGAATGACCTTTTCCACAGAGTGGCAGAATAATGCAATGAATTAAAACATGAGTTTGTAAGTGCTACACCAATGGAAATTCAAAAAATAATATGCTGAGAGAAAAGAGAGTTGCTAGTTAGACTGACCTTGAGATAACTTCTATATCTGATGAGGTAGTTGTTTCAACTTCATCTCCTGAGCTGTGACCAGAAGTGTGGCCAGATCCAACTTTAAGAGCTTCAGATCTGAAAACATTATACAAATTAATTATTAATTATAGTTTTTACAAACATTTCAGTTCAGGGAAATGTCATACCATGTGGAAGCTAGATCTTTAGAGTAAGGAAGGACTGATAAACAGTATGTGGAAAAATGGCTAAATTTTATGCATTAGGTATATGGGGTAAATGTGAGTCGTAAAAAGTGACTAAAATGCCAGGAGCAATGGCCCAGTAACCCCTTCTCCTGTATAAATTACTAAAAATGGGTCACCATACCTCGGTGGGAGACAGCTGGTGTGTTAAAAGAAAATATATGGGCTAAGTATCTTCAGACAAAAAGCTACTGAGGAGGATTCATAGTCCAACAAAATCAAGAGTAAGTTCTGGATAACAGATGAAAAAAGAAACGAAGACTTCAAGAGTCATACTGCCTAAGTGTGAACTGACTGGTGGATAAAAATCACACGGTACAATACATACATATATGAAAATTAAAAGTGAATATTTTTATAAAAAAATTTACTTTTTATTAATGGAATTCAAAGTTTTTGGGTCTACTGTTGACTAATGGACACTGTCAGATTTTCCGCAGACATCTTATAATACAGCGTGTTACATAAGTCTGTCTGAAATGCATCACATGTTAGTGGCTTTCTTTTGTGCTTAACAATACATATCTTATTACATGTAAACTACATATTGTATACTGCAGAAAGAAATAAAGTTGTTTGTGTGTTTTATTTGTAAGATATAAACTCACCGTTCTGAAGATGATGGGGAATGTTCTCTCTCTGGGGGAGACGATGCTCCACTGGTAGCTTCCTCATCTCCCATTGCCTCTTCCAGAAGACAGCGGACAACTGCTCCGCCTGAGCCAGTCATAGTGTCATCTGCATTTTCATTACTTCCTTGGCTCTCCTGCTCACCCATACGTGTAGCACTCCTATACAAAAATATACTGCTCAGACAGGCACCCCAAAGGTGCTAAAAAATACAACTTCTGTAGTCTTTGCCTACACAAGAGCAATAAACAGAACACTGTACTAGGTCACTTAATTCTGGCAAATATACTTCATACTAGTAAATGAGGATAGAAGAAATTGAACAGTATATAAAAGGATGCTAAATTTACAGAGCAATAAAGCAAACTGTGCAATAAACTGATATGAACATAAGCATGGCAAGAAAGTTGAAATTATTATTAATTTTATTTTTATTAACACATCGGCCGATTCCCACCAAGGCAGGGTGGCCAGAAAAAGAAAAATTTTCATCATCATTCACTCCATCACTGTCTTGCCAGAAGGGTGCTTTACACTACAGTTTATAAAACTGCAACATTAACACCCCTCCTTCAGAGTGCAGGCACTGTACTTCCCATCTCCAGGACTCAAGTCTGGCCTGCCGATTTCCCTGAATCCCTCCATAAATGTTACTTTGCTCACACTCCAACAGCACGTCAAGTATTAAAAACCATTTGTCTCCATTCACTCCTATCAAATACACTCATGCATGCTTGCTGGAAGTCCAAACCCCTCGCACACAAAACCTCCTTTACCCTCTCCCTCCAACCCTTAACATTTTAACTGTATTTGACATCCTAACAGGCAAGTGTTGTCTATATGTCCAAAGCACTGTCAATGTGTCCGAATTACTGGTACACACAATTTTTAGTATGCACAATTTTTCGTACCCACAAATCTGCCTCCTGTTAATATTTTTGACTTCAGCACACAACTCTTTGGGTTTTCTTCCATCTATTCATACATTTGAAAAAAATCTTAGGCCAGAAGGGTCCACACAATGTATCATGATTAACTACTTAGGGGATGACTATGTCCCATGTACAAGTACACTAATTAGCAAAAGCAAATAATGAAACCGGGAACTGTAAGCAAGTTTATTTAGGCACAAGCACACATATGTACAATTATCATACATAATGTAAATTACCAAGGATAACCCAATAAAGTCAGAAAAAGTGATTTATTTCCATTGTAATTCCACCACCAGCTGCCCAGCCAGAAAACAGGATGTGCAAGTGGCTCAAGGATAACTTATTCATTCCAAATTTATTATGATTTCATACTGCACTAACAGAGGAATTCATCTACAGAGCACACTAAGTATATTTTACTCAGGATAACCCAGTAAAGTCAATGTAAATAATTACCATGTTTTGAGAAGTACATGTACAGCCTCACTGTGAGGCTGTACATGTACAGCCTCACTTAGCGACGTACTCATTTACTGATGACTCAGACTTACAACGGGCTCACTGACCAGTATGCATACCTAAATAATGTAGTATATCAGAACTGATTTCCTCTATTCTTTTTATTACAATATACAGTACACTACTGTACAAACATTTAAAAAAATACCAAAAATGTTATAAGAGGAGCGAAGGTGACATTAAAACAATATCAGAGATGGCTGACACAAACCCACTACCATTATAGTATGCTCCTCACTTAGTGACAAATTCATTTACTGATGTGGTCTTAGGAACGGAACTCCGTCGTTAAGTGAAGAGAGGCTGTATTACACTCTGAAATATTTTTTTTTTTTTTTTCATTAACACATCGGCCATTTCCCACCAAGGCAGGGTGTCCCGAAAAGAAAAACTTTCATCATCATTCACTCCATCACTGTCTTGCCAGAGGCATGCTTACACTACTGTTATAAAACTACAACATTAACATCCCTCCTTCAGAGTGCCAGCACTATACTTCCCATCTCCAGGAATCAAATCTGGCCTGCCATTTTCCCTGAATCTCTTCATAAATGTTACCTTGCTTACACTCCAATAGCACGTCAAGTCCTAGAAACCATTTGTCTCCATTTGCTCCTATCTAACACGCTCATGCATGTTTGCTGGAAGTCCAAGCTCCTTGCACATAAAACCTCCTTTACCCCCTCCCTGCAACCTTTCCTAGGCTGACCCCTACCCTGCCTTCCCTCCACTACAGATTTATACACTCTCAAAGTCATTCTATTTCGTTCCATCCTCACTACATGTCCAAACCATCTCAATAGCCCCTCCTCAACCCTCTGGATAATAGTTTTGGTAATCCCGCACCTCCTCCTAACCTCCAAACTACGGATTCTCTGCATTATATTCAGCACTGACTTTTCTGATAAGTTTTGACATGTTGCATCAACACATTCAATACAATTAAAATTTGTCAAAGGGTTCATTTTGTAAGCAAGATTTTCTTTCTTTCAACACACCGGCCGCATCCCACTGAGGTGGGGTGGCCCAAAAGGAAAAACGAAAATTTCTGTTTATTTATTTAATACATATATGTGAAATGTTAAGTCCACATGTGTCATTCAACACAATAAGTGCTGGAGACTTGATTCCCTATCCACTAATCATGAGACAGACGCACTACTAAGTTGTACTCGCCTATTTTTATCTTTATATTTATGACATATTATTTACATAAAAACTCAATAATTTGACAAATAATACTTGAAGGGAAAAGTCCCATGTTGAGGCAGCTGCTTTGTAGACCAACACTGTATGAGAAGAGTGGTCAGTAAATTAAAGCCCTGATTTTCCTGCATACCATAAACATTCAATGTTGCAAAAATTAACCCCATTACCTGAATGCAAGTCTGGTGTCTTAGTACCTTGCCCTACAAAAGATTTTACAACATTACTTTCCAGTAGTGTGTAGTAGGGTGAGTGCAGGCAATGTTGTGGTGCACGAGATACATCAAGAGGAGAGACTGGTGTATACATATCAATTTTTCACACAGGGTCATACAATTGCCCTGAGATTTTGTATGTTTATCTGGAGTTTTATTTGGAGTGAGTTCCGGGGTCAACGCCCCCGCGGCCCGGTCTGTGACCAGTCCTCCTTAGGTCAGTGTCCCAGGATGCGACCCACACCAGTCGATTAACGCCCAGGTACCCATTTTACTGATGGGGAACATAGACAACAGGTGGAAAGAAACACGTCCAATGTTTTTACTCTGGCTGGGAATCGAACCCAGGCCCTCATCGTGTGAAGCGAGAGCGTTAACCACCAGGCCACCTCTTGTCCCATGAATGTTGCACTCTCCCCACTGTGCAGCACTCAGAAGAGTTCTCATAATAAATTAAGAGACTAATTCTTGAGATATTAGGCATACATGCAAACAATATCTTTTGTTCAACCAACAACTTCACACCTTGTATATATGCACCCACTCATAATACTGAGATTAGTACATGTGTAAAAAATTTAGATTCTGTATGCAGAAATTGTACTGTACAATGGATACAAGATTTAAGAACTAACTGGGACCTGGTTAGTTGGATTTGACTCCTGGAGGTAGGATGGGCAGTACATGCACTTTAAGTGGTGGGGATTTGAAACTATCATGTCAACAGACCTCTGGCAAGACAGCAAAGGAATGAATGATAGCAAATGTGTTTTCCTTATTTTTGCATTACTCTGCTTTGTTGGGAGATGGTCAATGAGGTAAAACAAAAGTTAACTAACCAAACCATCTGAGAAGAATCCACTGAAGCAGTGATAGTGTCTGAGCTGCCTCCACTTTCCACAGATATATCCAATGATATTGCTGGTGCAACACCATCTGCTTCCTCTACAGCACTCCCATCTACACAGGTTACACCAGTCTGAGCAGCTGTTCTTCTGTCATCTGATGAGGCATCAATTTCTTCTGAATGGATATTGTCAACAGGAGTCACAATGCTCTCTGACGTTAAAGACTGCCCGGTAAGCTCGGGCAATGCTGTGTCTGCTGGGCCTGCAGGCGTCTGGTCATGACTGATTATAGTAGCATCCAATACGGTGTGAGTGCTAGAGGTTGAGGTGCTGTGAACACTCTCACTCACTGATATATCCTCAGTTACACTACTGCTGGCCTGTGAACTAGCATCACACTCCTTTACACCAAAGGAAACTTCAGTTGTTGCTTTATGGGTGGAGGCTAAGCTTGTGTCCCAATGAGTTGGCTGCTTTACTACAGCTTGTTCTAAAGCTTTTGTTTCTGAAACATGTTTCTCTGCACAAAGATCACTTATTATATTTTCTTGTATTGGAATACATGGACCTAGAGACTGCTGAAAATCTGTCTCGGTGTCAGTGTTAACGGGTAGCTGCAAGGTGGGCTGTATACTGACAATAATTTGTGAAGGGCTTAGGTCTTGTATGAGTGTGTCATTACACGAATCTTGATGTGTTGGTGATGAATCACTTGAAGAGGGGCCACTTAACACCTGAAAAAGAAAAAAATCTCACTTCCATATCAACAGTTATTAAAAGTAATTAAAGATAGCCAAAAAGAGCTCTGGAAGTCAGTAGTAGTACCATGCTTTTTGAAAGATGGGTGAGGATGTCATTTCATCTGTGATGTCTATGCTTTTCTTGCAAGACAACTAATGTATATGCAGTGGTGAATGCATTTCCTTCTCTCGGTCACCTTCTTGGTGAGAAATGACTAATGCACAGTACTAAAAACAAGCAAAAAATGCACGTGTGCACGTGCACACATACACACTAATTTCAATCCACGAAACATTCAGTCTTGAGTAATGTAACATATCTTTCATTGCAAAAGCCTCAGAAAATAACATTAACATTATTCAGCACTTACCTCTATGGAGGATGGTGAGGTGACAAGACTGGACGAACCAAGAACTTCAATCGATTCTGGAGAGCTAATGGGACTGGTTATTTTTCCATATACAAAATTTACAGTTAGTTTTGGTCTTGTTACTTCTGAAAAACTGCGCACTACATCTACATCAGGTGAACTACCATCTGATGTCAGCACTACTATACTATCTGGTGTGTTACTTTCAGAGTTGGCACAAGACACCATAGTTCTTCTTTCACTGCCTTCGCCTTTACTTGCATCCATGTCATTTTGCTGTTCTATTCTTTTATTAACTACATTATTATCCTGATCATCTTGCTCCCCCAAAAACACATCTTCAGATATTGCGGATGGAACATCCAGGTCAACTGATCGCCCAGAAAGTGAGCCTCTGCTCTCTTGGCGTACAAACCCTCCGGTGTCGCTGTCAACACTCCCTACTACGAGCCGACTTTTTGCAAAGCCTTCTACGTCAATAGCATCATCTGCTAAACTGTCTTCACGGGCCTCTAGTTCACCATGTATTGTACCAAACTCTCCTAAACAATAATAAATAAGTATTAAGAGTAGCAGGAAAATAACATATTCTAATAAAATATCTATCATTGAATTTCATTTATGCTATTGTACATATTTTGTTGCTTCCTTATAACATTGTATTCCAAATAAACCCATATTAATTTTGCTATAATACTGCTGCTATCTGAAGCTCACTGCATGAAAAGTATTCTGATCAATACTTTTAACTAAATAATTAAAAAATGGATAAAAATGTGAGTTACACACAATTATGTTAAAAATATAAATTCCAATGAGATTATTTGGGAGTGGACACACATCAGCAGATGGGTCTATGGAAAATGTGGTGAAGAGAAATGATGAGAGGAAGAAAGTGGGTGGAGCATTTAGGAATCAAAAGGAACAAAGAACTTAATCTATAGACAAAAACAGGAATGAATCAGAATATAGGGGTACCAACACTATTACATGCATGTGAAGCTAGGTTTTAAAGGAAGCAGTTAGAGGCAGTGGAGATAATATACTGGAAGACTGTGTGTAGTGTGAATATTATAGAGTGAGTTCAGAGCTTAGAGATGAGGTGTGGGGTTACCAAAAGTATAATTCAGAGGGATGAGGGGGTTGTCTACCCAAAGAGTGTTCTGAGGGTCAATGCCTCCAAGGCCCAACCCTAGACCAGGCCTCTTGGTAGATGACCTGATCAAACAGGCTGTTTTTGCTAGCCACATGAAATCCAACATTTGCACCACAGGCCAAATGATCAGGAACCAACTTTAGAGACTTGCCTAGTTTCCTCTTGAAGACAGTCAGTATTCTGTTGGTAATCCCGTGTTATGTATGATGGGAGGTTGTTTTTAGTCTTGGGCCTCTTTCATTTATTGTATTTTTTCTCAGTGTACTCAAAGCATCCCTGCTTCTCATTCTGGGTATCTTGCACCATCTGCTGTGCCACTTGCTTTCGTAAGGAGTAATTTCTGTATGGAGATTTGGGACCAATCCTTCTAACATAGTCCACATGTAAATTATAATGCATCTTTCTCAGCTGCATTCCAGAAAGTACAAGTCAAGGGATTCAAATGTTCCCAGTAATAGATGCTTTAATAAATTTATATGTCCGGTGAAGGTTCTCTGTAAACTCTCTAGGTCTGTAATTTTACCTGCCTTAAAAGAAGCTGTTAATGTGCAGCAATATTTCAGGATTGAGAGAACAAGTGCCTTAAAGAGGACCATCATTGGCTTGGCATCTCTTGTTGAGATGATCTTAATTTACAGAGAATGGAGGAAATTAGGGGGTGGCAGGAAGGAGGAATAGGGGTCATCTCAGGAAAGGCTGGAAGGAGGAGGGGGGGAGGTTAGAGGAGATTTTGAGGATCATAACATTAACAGTGGGGTGACTACAATGCTGGGAACAAGGGGCTAGTAACCCCTTCTCCTGTATAAATTACTAAATTTAAGAAGAAAAACTTTCATTTTTCTTTTTAGGTCACCTGCCTCAGTGGGATACAGCTGGTTTGTTGAAAAAACATTAACAGTATACAAAACTGACAAGTTGAAGTAGAGACATGTGCAACACCAGGATATCTTTATTTTGAAGGAGTGCCATGTTCTGTACATAGCAAGACACCTCACACTGAGTGACATGTCATTTTAATAAAGGATTGTTCTGTCTATGCATTTGATTTACTGAAACATTATCTTACATTTCCTAATTACCTAACTACAAACAACATAATATTGTGATTTCATTATCCTGGTATACAATATCTGCTAAATATACAATATATGTCGTTTGTTCTGGGATCATCTTTCTGTGGACCACTCTCAGACCAAACCATTTAAATTGGAAAGGAAATATTACAGGTATAACTATTAAGAAACACACAGGGAAGTAAAGATAAGTGAAATTGAATATAAGTAGAAGTTTGTAAGACTTATCTGCCATATGACATGTTCAAGAAAAAAAAAAAAACAGGCATTCAGCCAGATTGGTAAACATTTAAGAGGCTTCTGTTTCACATTATTATGACAGGTGGTAGTACTGTATCCTTCTGTGATATAGCTTTGATATACTTTCTGTGATATACCTTTGATATACTCTGTGATATACCTTTCACATACTTTCTGTGAAATACCTTTGATATATTTTGTGATATACCTTTGATATACTTTGTGATATACCTTTAATATACTGTATTTTGTGATATACCTTTGGTATACTTACTGACATACCTTAAATATACTTTTGGTGATATACCTTTGATATACCTAAATGATTATAGCCTACCAACCCCCAAGCCAATGACTCTTACCTTCCAGGTTTTGTTGGTCACCCGGCATGACCATAATGCTGCTCTCCCAGCCCCAACCCCATTCATTTGCTACTCCATCAGTGCTACTGCTCATGTCTGCAAGCTGATGCTCCTTGTTACTTTTGTCATCTAACTGTAAAAGTAATATACACATAAAATTATTTTTTCAATATCTAAGAGCCTAAGGTAAATGTCTGTATATCTAATGAATGCTAGTACAATTTTCTTTATACAAGAATGTTCTAAATCATTCAGTTATCATTACTTATGTTAACCCTTAACCCGTAAATGGTCCAAGCAGATCTACGTTCACATGTGTAGTGCTACAATAGTAGATCTACGTTTTTTACATATTTTCAAATATAACAAAAAAAAAAAGTAGATCAAAGTTTTTTTACACATTTTCAAATGTAAAAAAAACAAAAAGAAGATCTACTTTTTTTACATACTTTCAAATGTTGAAAAAACGTATATATACGTTTGGACCGTTTACGGGTTAAACTTTGATCATGCAGACAATGCCCACATGGTGAACTGTTTACAGTACAGAACTTCATAGATCTATGAAATGTTGTACATGTTTCTTTGTAACAAACATATAAAATGAATTACAAAAAAAAAAAAAAACTGACCAGAGAGAGAATGGCAAGGTCCACACAAGCACATTTTAAGGATTAAAAGATCAGCTTTAGAAATTTATTGAAGAGGTCATGAGCCCTGAGGTTTCTCTCTATGGAGTGATCAAGGAAACAAAACCCCCTCCTCACACTTCACTGTGTTAGCTGCTGCTGTTTAGCCTAAATGAACAAAAGCCACAGAATATCATAAACTGTGCTAGTTTAGCTACCTCTAGGTGAAACACTTGTCAAATGACTGCATTGAAAACAATAATCTGGTTAACAAGGAAGTTAACATGAAAGCCTGGCCTTAGGCCAGGATGCAAGGGCAAAAGATCCCTCAAAATCAGTCACAGGTATACACTAGAAGTTATTTTATACATTTCAATATAAATTAGCTATTATTAAAATGCAGTAGCTTGAATTAAAGATTAAATATTCAGTGTAAAGAGTCCAGCATTCTCATAATTTTCAAAACAAGCCAGTTTTTATAAAACAGCATAAGGAGTTTTGACAGAGTCCAATGTCTGAATATTAAAAATAATTAATTCTCTCATCTCTTACCTGACACCCTGTACTGCTATCATGGTCTTCCAAACTGGATGTACGGGGCTGAGTCGACACAGGACTGGTTGTCAACTGTAAGGTTGGTAAGCTGGTGCTGCTACGAGGAGGTTGCGTAGCCACAATACTCTTCTCTGACTCGCTTGTTGTTTCACAAACATCTGTCATTTACCATCAAAATAACCAGTAAGTACTACAACATCAGGAGGAGCCTTGAAAATGTATATAAAACTATACAAGGCTTGGGTACACTAAGTCAATTGACAGGGGTATCCTTGGTCTCTTATCCCAGTATATCTCACAATACTTCATAATTTTACTTAATAGGTATTCTTCTCCATGGGGAAGTGGAACAGAATTCTTCCTCCGTAAGCCATGCGTGTCGTAAGAGGCGACTAAAATGCCGGGAGCAAGGGGCTAGTAACCCCTTCTCCTGTATAAATTACTAAATTTAAAAAGAGAAACTTTCGTTTTTCTTTTTGGGCCACCCTGCCTTGGTGGGATACGGCCGGTGTGTTGAAAGAAAGAAGGTATTCTTATTCTCCATGGGGAAGTGGAACTGAATTCTTCCTCTGTAAGCCATGTGCGTTGTAAGAGGTGACTAAAATGCCGGGAGCAAGGGGCTAATAACCCCTTCTCCTGTATAAATTACTAAATTTAAAAAGAGAAACTTTTGTTTTTCTTTTTGGTGGGACACGGCCAGTTTGTTGAAAGAAAGAAAAAAAAAAGGTATTCTTATAAAATAATGTTTACAATTTAGCTTAATAAAGTCATAATTATTAAATCCAGTTCTTAACTAATCTCTGCCAAACAAATACAAATCCACCACACCACTTGCATTAAATGAATAAGAGTATACACAAAAATCAAAACATTTCGCAGAAAAAAAATAATTTAGGGAAAACAACTTACATCTGAATGTTCACAACGTTTGTAATGAATCTGTGGAAAATGAACAATGATATTTTACCTAACATGTCACTTGGGTGATAATGACTATTTCTAAAACTGTGACCTTGTTTCTTGAGAGATGCACCAATTTAATTAAGTACATACTTGGTAGGGTATGCAAAAGAAGAAAATTAAAAGTGAATACAGGAAAGAGTAAGGTTATGAGGATAACAAAAAGATTAGGTGATGAAAGATTGGATATCAGATTGGAGGGAGAGAGTATGGAGGAGGTGAATGTATTCAGATATTTGGGAGTGGACGTGTCAGCGGATGGGTCTATGAAAGATGAGGTGAATCATAGAATTGATGAGGGGAAAAGGGTGAGTAGTGCACTTAGGAGTCTGTGGAGACAAAGAACTTTGTCCTTGGAGGCAAAGAGGGGAAAGTATGAGAGTATAGTTTTACCAACGCTCTTATATGGGTGTGAAGCATGGGTGATGATTGTTGCAGCGAGGAGAAGGCTGGAGGCAGTAAGTAAGTAAGTTTATTCAGGTATACACAAATACAGTTACAAAGATTTATCATACATAGCAGCAAATGTGTAGAGAACCTAGGATAACCCAAAAAAGTCAGACTGAGTGACTTATTTCCATTGGGGTCATGTCCATTGAGATGTCATGTCTGAGGGAAATGTGTGGTGTGAATGTAATGCAGAGAATTCGTAGTTTGGAAGTTAGGAGGAGGTGCGGGATTACCAAAACTGTTGTCCAGAGGGCTGAGGAAGGGTTGTTGAGGTGGTTCGGACATGTAGAGAGAATGGAGCGAAACAGAATGACTTCAAGAGTGTATCAGTCTGTAGTGGAAGGAAGGCAGGGTAGGGGTCGGCCTAGGAAAGGTTGGAGGGAGGGGGTAAAGGAGGTTTTGTGTGCAAGGGGCTTGGACTTCCAGCAGGCATGTGTGAGCATGTTTGATAGGAGTGAATGGAGACAAATGGTTTTTAATACTTGACGTGCTGTTGGAGTGTGAGCAAAGTAACATTTATGAAGGGGTTCAGGGAAACCGGCAGGCTGGACTTGAGTCCTGGAGATGGGAAGTACAGTGCCTGCACTCTGAAGGAGGGGGTGTTAATGTTGCAGTTTAAAAACTGTAGTGTAAAGCACCCTTCTGGCAAGACAGTGATGGAGTGAATGATGGTGAAAGTTTTTCTTTTTCGGGCCACCCTACCTTGGTGGGAATCGGCCAGTGTGATGATAAAAAAAAAAAAAAAAAACTTTTAAAAGTTTTAATAATATTACCTTTTTTCCTAGTACCAGGAGGGTTCTCAAAGAAAGAGCCAGTAAATGATCCCCATAAACTTCCAGCCATGATGGCTGAACCACTTGACTTCCCTTCATCTGAAACACAAGAGGATTACAACATTATTTTATAATTTCCCAGAAGATAGGGCAACCCAAAGAGGAAAATACATTCTCCATCACTTGCTTCCCAGCTGCCCTTCTAGGTGGGCATAGATATCTAGTCCAGTTAAACTGGCATTTGCTTCTGAAGCAGATTTTATTGTACATCCCATATTCATCCTGTGAACTGTGGCATAAAAATATACACAAAAATATACATAAAAATATACATTTCATAATATTTCATTCTTTTTTTGTGCTTGCAACTGCTAAATATGCCACCATGGGCCCAAAGAAAGATTGTAGTGCCAGCCCTTTGGTAAAGAAGGTGAGAAACACGATAGAATTCAAGAAAGAACACACCAGCCAGGGTACTTCCCCACACACCAGCCAGGGTACTTCCCCACACACCAGCCAGGGTACTTCCCCACACACACCAGCCAGGGTGCTTCCCAACACACACCAGCTAGGGTACTTCCCCACACACACCAGCCAGGGTACTTTCCCACACACCAGCCAGGGTACTTACCCACACACACCAGCCAGGTTACCTCCCCACACACACCAGTTAGGGTACTTCCCCACACACACCAGCCAGGGTACTTCCCCACACACCAGCCAGGGTACTTCCCCACACACACCAGCCAGGTTACCTCCCCACACACACCAGTTAGGGTACTTCCCCACACACACCAGCCAGGGTACTTCCCCACACACCAGCCAGGGTACTTCCCCACACACACCAGCCAGGGTACTTCCCCACACACCAGCCAGGGTACTTCCCCACACACCAGCCAGGGTACTTCCCCACACACCAGCCAGGGTACTTCCCCACACACACCAGCCAGGTTACTTCCCCACACACACCAGTTAGGGTACTTCCCCACACACCAGCCAGGGTACTTCCCCCACACTCCAGCCAGGGTACTAGAAGGGAAGTAACCCCAGATAAGGATTTGGTACCTAAAGTCTTTATGGAAGGGGAGTCCCCTTCTAAACAACAGCATAACTTCTCCATCCTCTCCCCTCCTCCTGTTTTCCACACACCAACAAGAGTCTTCAATAAAGGTAAGTGTGATGTTATTATTGTTTTATGCTTGATTTCTCATACTTTTCTGTATGTAAATCTCTATTTAATCTGTAAAAAAATATTTTTAGTTAATACTTTTGGGTGTCTGGAATGAATTAATTGGATTTACATTATTTCTTATGGGGAAAACAGTTTCAAAATTTGTGAATTTCGACATTCGGCAAACTCTCTGGAACGGATTAATCATGAAATTCAGGGGTCCACTGTATTCACAGAAGAATAGGATCTAGACCCGAAATGTGTTAGTAGGAGTACACAGCCTCTCCTCACTTAACGACTGAGTTCCGTTCCTAAGAGTAGGTTAGTAAGCAAATTGGTCATTAACCCTTTGAGGGTCAAGACCCCAGATCCTAAACTCGTTCTCAGGGTCGAAAAATATTCAAAAAAAAAAAAAAAAAAAAAAAATTCTTATGAAATGATAGAGAATCCTTCCCCGATTGTAAGACACCAAAAGTATGAAATTTGATGAAAAACTTACGGAATTATGCTCTCATGAAGTTAGCGGTCTTGACAATATTCATGCATCGGCAATTTCACCCACTTTGAGCCTTATTTTTGGCCAATTCCAATGTTCCAGTCGACTAAAATCATAGCGTATTTTGCTAGAACTCTATTTGTTCTATCGATTGAGTATAAGAAATCGCCCATTTACCGATTTCAGTGGTCAGAAATTGGCAATTTGGCCAATATCAAACAAATTTCAGAAGTTGCCAATTTCAAAATAGGGTCCAGAATAAACAAGACAGACATTCCTGGAACTAAAATAACATTTTCTCTGTTCATTAGTCATGTCTCCAGGCCCCTCTTATTTTACTCTTGCTTTCCATTTTGAATTTTTCTCACAAAAAATAGAAGACTTACTGTTATACAGACTACTGCATTATTGTAAAAATGGTATAAATAATATCAGCACACTTGTGAAAGAATATTAGACTCACCAGTTGATGTGTATAGGACGCGTGGCATGATTTGTTTACTCCTGAACATCGGCAAAAATCGAACATTTCCACTACTTTGAGTTCAATTTCAAGGTACTTTTCATCATGAAACAAATCAAAAATCATCTCTATTTCTGTAATATATCTTCCATTCTATCAAATGAGACCAAGAAAACAAGAATACAACCATAAATATCACACGAAAATACACTGCAATGTCGCTGTTTTAAACCAAAAACATACCTGGAGAGTTCTGGGAGTCAACGCCCCCGCGGCCCGGTCTGTGATCAGGTCTCATGGTGGATCAGGGCCTGATCAACCAGGCTGTTACTACTGGCCGCACATAATCCAGCATATGAGCCACAACCTGGCTGGTCAGGTACTAACTTTAGGTGCCTGTCCAGTGCCTGCTTGAAGACAGCCAGGGGTCTATTGGTGATCCCCCTGATGTATGCTGGGGGATTACCCATAAACCCCTGGTTGTCTTCAAGCAGGCACTGGATATGGTCGGAGTTTTATTTTTCTCATTATGCACTGCGTGCTTCAGGATTTTTTTTATTTTATACTGTGCACACTGACCATGCAGACCCATTCTTTCTTATGTAGGCCTACAAGCTTTCTTCCACCAAATCTAAAGGCGCTAGAATTTATGTATATAAGTACGTGACGGTAGGATTGCTGGTGTCTTTTGTCTGTCTCATAAATATGCAAGATTACAGGTATGTCTTGCTACTTCTACTTACACTTAGGTCACACTACACATACATGGACACGTTTATTTATACACACTCATCTGAGTTTTCTTTCATTTTATCTTAATAGTTCTTGGTCTTATTACTTTTCCTTTTATATCCATGGGGAAGTGGAATAAGAATCTTTCCTCCGTAAGCCATGCGTGTTGTAAATGTCAACTAAAATGCCGGGAACAATGGGCTAGTAACCCCTTTTCCTGTAAAGATTACCAAAAAGAATAAGAAGAAGAAAATTGTCAAAGTGGGAAGTCTGAATGTGCGTGGATGTTGTGCAAATGATAAGAAAGAGATGATTGTGGATGTTATGAATGAGAAGAAGCTGGATGTCCTGGCTTTAAGTGAAATGAAGCTGAAGGGGGTGGGAGAGTTTCAATGGAGAGGAATAAATGGGATTAGGTCAGGGGTTTCAAATAGAGTTAGAGCTAAAGAAGGAGTAGCAATAATGTTGAAGGATAAGCTATGGCAGGAAAAGAGGGACTATAAATGTATTAATTCAAGGATTATGTGGAGTAAAATACAGATTGGATGTGAAAAGTGGGTTATAGTAAGCGTGTATGCACCTGGAGAAGAAAGAAGTGTAGAGGAGAGAGAGAGATTTTGGGAAATGTTGAGTGAATGCGTGGGAGCTTTGAATCAAGTGTGAGAGTAATGGTGGTTGGGGATTTCAATGCTAAAGTGGGTAAAAATGTTATGGAGGGAGTAGTAGGTAAATTTGGGGTGCCAGGGGTAAATGTAAATGGGGAGCCTTTAATTGAGCTATGTGTAGAAAGAGATTTGGTAATAAGTAATACGTATTTTATGAAAAAGAGGATAAATAAATATACAAGGTATGATGTAGCACGTAATGAAAGTAGTTTGTTAGATTATGTATTGGTGGATAAAAGGTTGATGGGTAGGCTCCAGGATGTACATGTTTATAGAGGGGCAACTGATATATAGGATCATTATTTAGTTGTAGCTACAGTTAGAGTAAGAGGTAGATGGGAAAAGAGGAAGGTGGCAACAACAAGTAAGAGGGAGGTGAAAGTGTATAAACTAAGGGAGGAGGAAGTTCAGGGGAGATATAAGCGACTGTTGGCAGAAAGGTGGGCTAGTGCAAAGATGAGTAGTGGGGGGGTTGAAGAGGGTTGGAATAGTTTTAAAAATGCAGTATTAGAATGTGGGGCAGAAGTTTGTGGTTATAGGAGGGTGGGGGCAGGTGGATAGAGGAGTGATTGGTGGAATGATGAAGTAAAGGGTGTGATAAAAGAGAAAAAGTTAGCTTATGAGAGGTTTTTACAAAGCAGAAGTGTTATAAGAAAAGCAGAGTATATGGAGAGTAAAAGAAAGGTGAAGAGAGTGGTGAGAGAGTGCAAAAGGAGAGCAGATGATAGAGTGGGAGAGGCACTGTCAAGAAATTTTAATGAAAATAAGAAAAAATTTTGGAGTGAGTTAAACAAGTTAAGAAAGCCTAGGGAAAGTATGGATTTGTCAGTTAAAAACAGAGTAGGGGAGTTAGTAGATGGGGAGAGGGAGGAATTAAGTAGATGGAGAGAATATTTTGAGGAACTTTTAAATGTTGAGGAAGAAAGGGAGGCGGTAATTTCATGCACTGGTCAGGGAGGTATACCATCTTTTAGGAGTGAAGAAGAGCAGAATGTAAGTGTGGGGGAGGTACGTGAGGCATTACGTAGAATGAAAGGGGGTAAAGCAGCTGGAACTGATGGGATCATGACAGAAATGTTAAAAGCAGGGGGGATATAGTGTTGGAGTGGTTGGTACTTTTGTTTAATAAATGTATGAAAGAGGGAAAGGTACCTAGGGATTGGCGGAGAGTATGTATAGTCCCTTTATACAAAGGTAAAGGGGACAAAAGAGATTGTAAAAATTATAGAGGAATAAATTTATTGAGTATACCAGGAAAAGTGTACGGTAGGGTTATAATTGAAAGAATTAGAGGTAAGACAGAATGTAGGATTGCGGATGAGCAAGGAGGTTTCAGAGTGGGTAGGGGATGTGTACATCAAGTGTTTACATTGAAGCATATATGTGAACAGTATTTAGATAAAGGTAGGGAAGTTTTTATTGCATTTATGGATTTAGAAAAGGCATATGATAGAGTGGATAGGGGAGCAATGTGGCAGATGTTGCAAGTATATGGAATAGGTGGTAAGTTATTAAATGCTGTAAAGAGTTTTTATGAGGATAGTGAGGCTCAGGTTAGGGTGTGTAGAAGAGAGGGAGACTACTTCCCGGTAAAAGTAGGTCTTAGACAGGGATGTGTAATGTCACCATGGTTGTTTAATATCTTTATAGATGGGGTTGTAAAAAAAGTAAATGCTAGGGTGTTCGGGAGAGGGGTGGGACTAAATTATGGGGAATCAAATTCAAAATGGGAATTAACACAGTTACTTTTTGCTGATGATACTGTGCTTATGGGAGATTCTAAAGAAAAATTGCAAAGGTTAGTGGATGAGTTTGGGAATGTGTGTAAAGGTAGAAAGTTGAAAGTGAACTTAGAAAAGAGTAAGGTGATGAGGGTATCAAATGATTTAGATAAAGAAAAATTGGATATCAAATTGGGGAGGAGGAGTATGGAAGAAGTGAATGTTTTCAGATACTTGGGAGTTGACGTGTCGGCGGATGGATTTATGAAGGATGAGGGTAATCATAGAACTGATGAGGGAAAAAAGATGAGTGGTGCATTGAGGTATATATGGAGTCAAAAAACGTTATCTATGGAGGCAAAGAAGGGAATGTATGAAAGTATAGTGTACCAACACTCTTATATGGGTGTGAAGCTTGGGTGGTAAATGCAGCAGCGAGGAGATGGTTGGAGGCAGTGGAGATGTCCTGTCTAAGGGCAATGTGTGGTGTAAATATTATGCAGAAAATTCGGAGTGTGAAAATTAGGAAAAGGTGTGGAGTTAATAAAAGTATTAGTCAGAGGGCAGAAGAGGGGTTGTTGAGGTGGTTTGGTCATTTAGAGAGAATGGATCAAAGTAGAATGACATGGAAAGCATATAAATCTATAGGGGAAGGAAGGCGAGGTAGGGGTCATCCTCGAAAGGGTTGGAGAGAGGGGGTAAAGGAGGTTTTGTGGGCAACGGGCTTGGACTTCCAGCAAGCGTGCGTGAGCGTGTTAGATAGGAGTGAATGGAGACGAATGGTACTTGGGACCTGACGATCTGTTGGAGTGTGAGCAGGGTAATATTTAGTGAAGGGATTCAGGGAAACCGGTTATTTTCATATAGTCGGACTTGAGTCCTGGAAATGGGAAGTACAATGCCTGCACTTTAAAGGAGGAGTTTGGGATATTGGCAGTTTGGAGGGATATGTTGTGTATCTTTATACATATATGCTTCTAAACTGTTGTATTCTGAGCACCTCTGCAAAAACAGTGATTATGTGTGAGTGTGGCGGATTCATTTTTGTTTCTAGGTCACTCTACCTCGGTGGAATATGACCGGTGTGTTAAAAAAAATGGATTAACCAGAAATGCAACTGGAACTTTTGCAAGGTACATGATTAATGTTCATAAGAGGAATTTATAAAAATACACAGTATGGATGACTGATTGGGTAACATTTCTGAAAGTGCAAGAAATTTATTAAAGACATACCATGTACTATCAATGACCTATTTTGTGTGGATTTACCCAGCACTTTTTTTATCGGGCACTCGTATTCCTATGGCAACATTAATGAGGTCCTCATTTTTACAGCTACTTAAAAATTTAATTGTGCTCTATGAGGCACCAGCCACTGGGGTTAATGTTACATCTAAGTTCACTTCTTGAAGAATAACAACTTATATAAACACTATGGTATGACAAGCAAGAGTACATGAAAGCACTTAAAAAGAAATACTCATTATCAGCACTTTACTCATGTTTTAAGGCAAAATACCTTTTGGTTTTGAAGTTAATCCTGGAGATGTCTCTATGGGCGAATTTGCAGGTGTAACAGGTGATTTTTTCTTGTCTAATCCAAATGATGCAAAAAAATTCTCGGATTCATCTTTCAGTTTTTCTGGTAGTCCTGGAAAATAAATGCTAAACTGAAGTTTGACCATAAAAAATATACTACTGCATTTTAATAAGAAATATAAATGTTATGAGACCAATCAATTTCAGAAGAGTGAGCCAAGCAATATTTGTCCTAAGGTCAGCTGGGCAAGATGTGTGGACGAATGCTGGGTGTGAAGACAGACCTAGGTGCCTGTCCTCGCGTCTCTTTGAGCTAAATGACCCCAGACAGATTCGGTACATCACATAAATATAATAACAAAGGGAGAGTGAGGATTTGGATATCATGTCATAACGGTGCAAAATTATGTGATGAAACATGGTTGAAGTTTGAGAAGTGCTGTGGAGTAGAATAGGAAGTATTCAGCTCCATATGCTACAGTTAACTACAAAATTTCACTAAGTTTTGATATGTTTATACAAATATGGATATCAAAGGGCTGGGAGATGCCTGAGTAAGTGTTAGCTCAAATACAGCACATACTGTGCTCCTCTTGTTATTATTTATTTTGAAATTTAGGCACTTAACCTGTTAACTGTCCAAAAGTAGATCTACGTTCGCTCGTGTAGCGCTCCGAACACAGATCTACGTTTTTTTTATGTGCTTTCTTATGGAGAAAATCAATGTCAGAGCGCTACGCGCGAAAAAATAGATCTACGTTTGGACAGTTAACGGGTTAGTCATTATGTGTGATTTGCCTAAACAATGGAGGTAAATACCTGAAAATGAGCAGTGAGATATCACAGGGCCTGGAGATAAATGAGGATACTATTCCTTATTCTTAAACAATACTAATGGGCTTAGAAAATTGAGAAGAGACATGTTCCATGTTCACTGACAACATTATTGTTAATGACAAACAAAAAAAAAGATTAAACCCAATGGCATAAGTCTCATCATCTTAAATTCTGCATAGAACATGTTGGACAGAACACTAAGATAAAAAAAAAAGACAGAAAGCATAACACAAAGCTGTGATGAGGATAAGTGATGACAGTGATAGTGACCTCCAAACAAGAATGAAAATGTTCATAAATTCAGGATACTAAGTGTAGGCAACAATGCAAGAAGTGGCTATTTTTTGAGAGATGAGGGAGGGAGAGGATCTAGATGCAGAACAGTGTATGAAATAAAATTCATTGTTAATGTACTTAAGTCATAACTCTTGAAGAAAACATCTGAGTGCTAAAAACAGAATAGCTACATCCAATAACACTTAATTTCTGTGTTAAAGTTTCACTCTAGGACTAGAGAACTGTCAGTAGACCTCCTTCCACTGACCTTTTTCTGCACATCTACGCACTTTTGATATCTGTGCCACCAGCTGCACAGCCCTCAGCAAGAGCCAGTACAATGTAATGAGGAACAGTTGACATGGAGAGGGTACTGGACACCGTGGTTCATGGAGCTTTCCACAAAGAGTAATTTTTCATACTTCAAAACGTTTCGTCTTAACTCAAAAGATCAAATATCAAGAGTCTCACCTTTTGGAGTTGGTACAGGTGTAAAATATGGAGTCGTTTTAGGAGGAAGTGTGCTGTCATTACTTTCCTCAATGTCAAGTGCCTTGTCAATTGTACGCTGAGCTTCCTTTAGTGCTGATCTGGCTAAGGAAGTGAGGCCGGCAGTATCAAACCAGCTCATAGTTGTGGTTGCCTGAACAAGCAGTGAAATTAAACATTTCAAATGAAAATAAGAGTTTTTAATTTCTAGTCAGTTATAAAAGTTACAACACAGTGGCAACACAATACCCAGAAATTTAAGCCTAAATCTAAAGAATGCCTAATACTTTGCAGAGAGGAAACCAACTTTAAATATTTTTAACTTAGGGCTTTCTCATTAGATGTGGGTTTGACTTCTTCAAATAAATGATCTGATTGTTTTTTGGATTGTGATATTTGCACGTTAATCCTACTAAAAAATGAAGAAAATTACCCATAAAAAATATATTAGAAAGCGGTGAAAGTTTTCAAGTTATGAAACAGTGCAACCTAACCTAGTTGAACCATCATTTATCTTACCTAACCTAATTTAGAAGTGTTTCATCAAACCATGTAACAGGCGGGGATTAAACCCATGGCAAGTGAGTTGTAAAACTCCAGGCCAGTGCATAAGCCACTTGGCCAGCTGGCTACAGTAAGAGTCATCCACCATGGTATATTTCTATACCCATAGGGAAGTTATCTGGTGCCACCACTGTGACCACGAATGAAAGTTTTTACTGATAGTGTATAGACATACACAAACAGCCTCTCCTCATTTAACGATGGAGTTCTGTTCCTGAGACCATGTTGTTAAACGAATTCGTCGTTAAGTGAGGAGCATACCATAATGGTAGTGAGTCAACCATCTTTGATATTGTTTTAATGTCACCTTTGCACCATTTATAATATTTCTGGTATATTTTTAAATGTTTATACAGTATATTTAAATAAACAGAATAGAGGAAATGAGCTGTTGTAAGTCTGAGGCGTCGGAAAATGAGTATATCGCTAAGTGAGGAGAGGCTGTACTTAGATGAATCTTATTGTAGCCAGGTGGCCGAATGTCTTATGCACTGCCCTAGAGTTTTAGAACTCACTTACTATGGGTTCAATCCTTGCCTGTTCCATGGTTTGTTTGCAATTGTGTTATTACGATTTCATTAGATTATCAACCCCAAAGGGTCAGTAACACTGGGTAACCCAAGAAACACAAACAATAAGGCTTATTTTCACTGTGGAAATCAGATCCTTTTCCCAGGAAATGATCCATATCAGTCGGCTGACACCCATACTGAGGGAAAAGTATAGGCTAAAAAAAATGAGTGTCACAAATTGATACAGCAAATCAGTGTCAGTTAAGAAATCATAGCGAAAGGTGACAGTAAACATGGAACTGTCGGAGAGAGAAGGACGGGCAATGTAAGCATGTCAGAGCATTGAATACAGAGGATAAAATGAAGTTAATATGCACTGTGATGAACATGACAACTGATCAAGACATGGCTGAATGGTTAATGGGATTCAAAGCCTAACAACTCCACTAGGGATCATTAACTCTTAAATGGTCCAAATGTATATATGCATTTTTTCAACATCTGAAAGTATGTAAAAAAAATGAAGATCTTCTTTTTTGCTTTACATTTGAAAACGTGTAAAAAAAACTTTTATCTACTTTTTTTTTGTTATATTTGAAAATATGTAAAAAAAAGTAGATCTACTTTTGTAGCACTACGAATTTGAACGTCGATCTGTTTGGACCGTTTAAGGGTTAAAGCTGCTCATAACCTTTTGTATTTGTATTCTACCACTCTTCACCTGTCTAGACTTAAGTAGTTTATTAGTGTAGTATTACGTTAAGTCTGCCCGAAATGCCTCGGCATGATAGTGGCTTTCTTTGTTCCAATTAAATTATAAAATGTAAACACACATTGTAACCTTAGTAAAGAAATAAAATTTTATTTATTTATTAATTATTATTTATTAGTTTACTACCAAACAACATGTTAATCCCTAAAACAAGGTTTACATACATACATTCAGAAAAATACACCTCTAAATGTATTTATCCTGTGAAGAGGTGTTGAACTCGCAGAACCTTACAAGAAGAGATAAAAAAAAGCATATACAAAAGTACATAATCATTCTACCAAAATTCAACTACTAATGTGATTATCTGAGTAAGATAAGAGATAAGATTTTGTTCGGATTTTTAACCCTGGAGAGTTAGCCACCCAGGATAACCCAGGAAAGTCAGTGCATCATCAAGGGAGTCTTATTTTCACTGGGGTCCTTAAATCTCATCCCCCAGGATGCGGCCCACGCCAGTCGACTAACACCCAGGTACCTACTTACTGCTAGGTGAGCAGTGACAACAGGTGTAAGGAAATACACACAATGCTTCCACCCTTGCTGGGAATCGAACTATTTTATCATTATTGCAAAAGGCAAAATCATGTAAGAAAATTAAAATATATTTAATGTACAAAAAAATGATCCCACCAGGAAATGAAGTTTCTCTCACTTCCCTTGGATCAAATTTGTTACCTCCCATTTCCCAGGTGTTGTATGACCCCCCTACAGGTTTGACTCTCCACCATGAATATATAATGCATAAAATTGGTGAAGATAAAGCAAACGAAATACTACGAAATTCTACATACAAAATTGCCATAGCTTCATAATTAATGCAAAAAAAAAAAAAAAATGCCAGACCCCAAACTAAGGTATAATAGATCTACCAGTGTTATTATATTCATGGAGAAGCGATAAACCCGTTGGGTCATACAGCACCTTGGGAATGTCATTATAATCAAAACAAGTGCTAAACCCACAAGGGTCATATAGCACTGACTAGGGAATGGAAGGTAATTCAGTCTGATCCGAGGAGGAACGTAGCTCCAATTCCTTGATCAAGAGCCCATCATTGCCCGGCAGCCCCGTAATTTATTTAGGTACAGGACGATAAGCCTATAATTAATAACCAGCACTATACACCTCTGAATTATAATCACCATTATAGGCCTACAATACATTTAGATAACATAAGTAACATTGTTTTTGTTTTTTTCTATAACTAAAACCAAAATAAAGATGGTAATATAGACGTCAGGTGAGTGGCCACGTAGCTTAGTCTGGCCTATTATGTCTTATTTCTGGATTATAGAGCATAATTATGTAGGTATGTATAATTAGGAAGGTGTATATATGTGTAGGTACCTGTGTAAGGGAGATATGATGGCTACATGAGGAGCCGCTGTAGGTACCAGAGGTGAATATTGTTGTGATAGTTGACACGCAAGCAAGACCTCCAGGGCTCCCTCCACCCCTCCTGGCTCCCTCCCTCCTGGCCCCCACCCTCCTGGCTCCCCCCTCCCTCCCTCCCGGCTCCCTCCCTCCCTTCTGGCTCCCTCCCTCCCTCCTGGCTCCCTCCCTCCCTCCCGGCTCCCTCCCTCCCTTCTGGCTCCCTCCCTCCCTCCTGGCTCCCTCCCTCCCTCCCGGCTCCCTCTCTCCTGGCCCCCACCCTCCTGGCTCCCCCCTCCCTCCCTCCCGGCTCCCTCCCTCCCTTCTGGCTCCCTCCCTCCCTCCTGGCTCCCTCCCTCCCTCCCGGCTCCCTCCCTCCCGGCTCCCTCCCTCCCTCCTGGCTCCCTCCCTCCCTCCTGGCTCCCTCCCTCCAGGCTCCCTCCCTCCCTCCTGGCTCCCTCCCTCCCTCCTGGCTCCCTCCCTCCAGGCTCCCTCCCTCCCTCCTGGCTCCCTCCCTCCCTCCTGGCTCCCTCCCTCCCTCCACCCCTCCTGGCTCCCTCCCTCTCTCCCTCCCGGCTCGCTCCCTCCCTCCTGGCTCCCTCCCTCCTGGCTCCCTCCCTCCTGGCTCCCTCCCTCCCTCCTGGCTCCCTCCCTCCCTCCTGGCACCCTCCCTCCTGGTTCCCTCCCTCCTGGCTCCCTCCCTCCATCCTTCCTGGTTCCCTCCCTCCCTCCTGGCTTCCTCCCTCCTGGCTCCCTCCCTCCCTCTTGGCTCCCTCCATCCCTCCTGGCTCCCTCCATCCCTCCCTCCTGGCTCCCTCCCTACTGGCTCCCTCCCTCCTACAAGGCTCCCTCCCTCCCACCTGGCTCCCTCCATCCCTCCTGGCTCCCTCCCTATCTCCCTCCCTCCTTGCTCTCTCCCTCCCACCTGGCTCCCTCCCTCCCTATCTCCCTCCATCCATCCCCCCCTCCAGGCTCCTTCCCTCCCTCCTCATCTCCCTCCATCCCTCCTGGCTCCCTCCATCCCTCCCTCCTGGCTCCTTCCCTCCCTATCTCCTTCCATCCCTCCTGGCTCCCTCCATCCCTATCTCCATCCCTCCTGGCTCCCTCTCTATCTCCTTCCCTCCTGACTCCCTCTTTATCTCCCCCATCCCTCCTTCCTGACTCCCTCCATCCCTCACTCCTGGCTCCTTCCATTCCTCCCTCTCTAATGGCTCTCTCCATCCTGGTCCCCTTCATCCCTCATGGTTCCTTCCCTCCTGGCTCCCTCCATCCCTCCCTTCTGGCTCCTTCCCTCTCTCCTGGCTTCCTCTATCTCTACTTCCTGGTTCCACCCCTACCTACCTTCTGGTTCCCCAAAGGAAATAAATCACTTTGACTTCTTTAGGGTTATCTTCCGCACAGCCAATTACAGTTGGTGTCCCACAGGGAAGTGTCCTTAGCCCTCTTCTCTTTATCATTTACATAAACGACCTACCAAATGCATCGCAACTACTCAAACCCACACTATTTGCAATGACCCTACATACGTCTTCTCTCACCCAAACCCAGTCATGCTAGCCAATACTGTAAATACCGAATTACAGAAAATATCTACCTGGATGATGACTAATAAACTTACTCTCAACATTGACAAAACCTACTTCATTCAGTTTGGAAACAGCTACAGATGTCCCTCTCAACATAATGATAAACGGATCACCTATCACAAAGCTCATAGAGGGAAAATTTTTAGGGAACCACCTTGATAATAGACTAAAATTTCAAACACATGTACAACAAATTTCCAAGAAAATTTCCAAGACCGTAGGCATACTATCGAAGATACTGTACTATGTTCCACAGTCAGCCCTCCTGGCCCTATATCACTCACTCATTTACCCCTATCTCACATATGGAATTTGTGCATGGGGCTCAACAACAATAAACCATCTCAGACCATTAATTACCCAACAAAAGGCTGCAGTCAGAATGATAACAAATTCCCACTACAGGCAGCACACTCCACCAATATTCAAAACTCTAAACCTACTCACCATACAAAACATCCATACTTATTATTGTACCTACTACATCCACTTAACTCGGATATAAACCCTCCCCTCAACCGTCTCCTTACCAACCTCAACAGAACACATGACCATAACACAAGGCACAGATCACTCTTGGATGTTCCTCGTGTCCATCTCACAATACAAAAACTCAATGCACATAAAAGGCCCAAAAATCTGGAATTCATTACCCGTGAACATAAAAGAAACACTGTTTATGAATTCAAGTCTATTCTTAAAAACCACTTACTCACCCACAACTAAATAAATACTGCATAACTGTATCTCATAAATTATAACCTGTGACCTTATCAAACTTTGTTTTTTTAATTACATTACCTAATAGAATACTCTATTCTCTTGAATGACAGTAACTCAACAAATGACCATATGATCTGTCTTTGAAATACTCATTTGTGCTAAATTGTTATTTGTTTACTGTCATTTTTTACCACTGAATATATCATTGCTTAGTTAATCTTAAGTTAATTTTAAGCTGCCCATAATTCTCTGCATACAAGGGACTTTTGGCTTGTAGACTTAACCACTGTATTTCTTTGTACATCTATGTATCATGTCCTAATTAATAATAAATAAAATAAATATGCTGCTATGTATGATAATCCATGTAACTGTATTTGTGTATCCCTAATTAAACTTAATTACTTACCCTCCATCCCTATCTTCCTCCTAGCTCCCTCCATCTCAACCTCCCTCCTGGCTTCCTCCATTCCTCCCTCTATTGGCTCTCTCCATCCCCTCCCTCCTGGTTCCCTCCCTCCCTAAGATAACCTCTTGGCTCCCTCCATCCCTCCCTCCTGGCTCCCTCTATCTCTACCTTCATTCCTCCTGGCTCCCTCCATCCCTCCCTCCAGGCTCCCTCCGTTCTGGCTCCTCTCCTCCTTCTTCAAGTACATGATACAACTTAGACAGACCATTGTTAACATTGTCATACTACTATTTATTTATTTATTTATTTATTTATTTTATGTCTTTGCAAACAGTACATTGAGTTTAGTTTAATATGTTTATTATGCACCCCATACCCATCCTGTGGGCGGTAGTCAAAAGATTACAGAGGTACATAATTGGTCCAGGGACTGGACTCCAAAGTTTTGATAGCTGAGCAAGTTACAGAGGTAATGAACTCACAATTTACAAAGGTAATGAACTCACAATTTACAAAGGTAATGAACTCACAATTTACAAAGGTAATGAACTCCAGGTAAGTCTGGTCACAATCATGACAAGTTACAAAGGTATTTACAGATTACAGAGGTACGTAATGGGTCCAGGGACTGGGCACAGTACATTGAGATTTTGTATTTACAATAGTTGGTTGCAATACAAAGAGAGCCTCTATTATGCCTAGGCATTAAGGGCCAACTTAACATTATTGGCTTACAGTCTACTTAACGCTAAGGATTATATCATAGTTGTACAGTAGGATAATAATTATTTCATAGTTGTACAGTAGATTAGGAATTTGTTATCATTCTTACTGCTGCCTTTTGCTGGGTTATTAGGGGTTTTAGGTGATTGGATGTTGTTGATCCCCATGCACAAATTCCATATGTAAGATAAGGGTATATGAGTGAATGGTACAGTGCCAGGAGAGCTGATTGTGGAACGTAGTACCTTATCTTTGATAGTATGCCTACAGTCTTGGAGATTTTCTTGGTGATTTGTTGTATGTGTCCGGAACTTAAGGCTACTGTCAAGGTAGATACCTAGGAATTTTCCCTCTGTGAGTCTTGGGACTGATGATCCGTTTAGCGTTATGTTAATTGGATCATTCCAAACTGAATGAAATAGGTTTTATCAGTATTCAGGGTAAGTTTGTAGTCATCATCCAGGCAGATATTTTCTGCAATTCGGCATTGACTGTGTTTGCTAGTATGACTGTGTTTGGGTTGGAAAAGACATATGTAGTGTCATCTGCAAATAATATGGGTTTGAGTAGCTGTGAATTAACAACTGGGCGTCTACACTGCAAACTGAATTGTTTGCAATCCTAATGGCGCTAAAGCTAACCTATGACACTGAGCTTGACTCTATCATCATTACTGATTCTTTGTCATCATTGAAGGCTCTTGACTCATGTAATGACTCCAACAACATGCTCATTGGGGAAGCCAGGTATAGATACTCAAAAATTAGGGACAAAGGAATTAATGTACAATTGCTATGGATCCCATCACACATTGGATTACTCCTTCATGATAAAGTTGATATGTTAGCCAAGAAGAGTATCGAGAAGGAGAATGTAGAATATAACTTTGGTATAACTGTGTCTAGCATTAGGAATAATATTAGGAGAGAAGTAAATAATGAAAATGATTGTTATAGGAATGCAGTTAGAAGCCTGAGTAGATCTATAACCCACTATGATAACATGAACGTAGATAAGTATGTTTATGGAGCAACTTGCAATGTGAACAGACTGACTGATGTTGTAGTGGCCAGGCTTAGGCTTGGTTACAAGTACTTCTGGCAGTTTGGGAGACACACAGATGATGATCAAACTAAATGTAAATTATGTGATCAGGCATATGGTCACTCTCTTGAACACTATGTGCTTAATTGTCCACTTATTGAGGAATACAGAGACAGACAGTATAATAACCTATGTGACATGTCAAGATATCTTATTAATGAAAATAAGATACCAGATATACTAAGCAAATTTCCTAAATTTGCTTGTAACAGATAAGTGAACTATAGATATGTAGATATAAATCCATATGTATTCCTGTTAACCCTTTGGGGCCTAGTTCCTAGGCCTTTTGTGTATCCATATGCTCTCGCGCTACCGTCCACAGGATGGATATGGGGTGCACAATAAACTAGCACTTCGGTGGCAAAATCTAAATCTGATGCATTCGGTAGATCATTGATGTAGATGAGAAAGAGGAGTGGTCAAATGACACTTCCTTGTGGGACTCCTACTCTGATTGGTTGGGTGGAAGAGTCTGCATCATTTGCATACACATATTGAGTTCTGTTACTAAGGTATGATTTTAGGTAGTTGAGGGGGTGGCCTCTGA